GATGCCCAGCCCTGGCTGTCCCCCAGAGCCCCACCTGTGTTGTCCATGGCGTTGGAGAGCAGGTAGGAGCCCTCGGAGCTGAGGCTCAGGCCGGTCACCGAGTCGGCGTGGCCCCGCATGCTGTAGGTGAGCTTGTTCTGCCGCAGGTCCCATACCTGGAATGGCACACAGAGCTGGCAGTGCTGCCCCCAGGGCATCCCTTCCACACACACAGGGACTGGGAAATGGGCTGCTGCAATCAGCTGGGGGATCCAGCTGCTGGGGATGGAAACTTGATGGGTGTTGGAGGAAAATGGGATTTGTGGCTTTGATTGGTGTTCAGCCATCAAGGAGTTATGAGGCAGCAGCCTCACACATGCAGGGTACAGGGAGTGGCTTCCCAGTGCCAGAGGGCAGGGATGGATGGGATATTGGGAAGGGATTGTTCCCTGGAGGGTGGGGAGGGGATGGGATGGAATTCCCAGAGCAGCTGTGGCTGYCCCTGGATCCCTTTGAGTGCCCAAGGCCAGGCTGGACATTGGGGCTGGGAGCAGCCTGGGACAGTCGGAGGGGTCACTGCCATGGCAGGGGTGGCACTGGGTGGGCTTTAGGGTCCCTTCCTATCACTAACAGTTCATGATTCCATGAAAACATGAGGCTGGAACTTTCTCTGTGTTGGAGGAAAACAGAATTTGCCTTTTAGAAGACTTCCAAGTCAAAATGCAAAACCAAGGAGTTAAACATCAGCAGCCCCACGCCTGCAGAATTGCTCTTTAACTGACCACAGAAATGGCCCAAATCCCTGATGGCACAGAGCAGCAGCTACCCCACTGCCATAGCTTCAGGCTGTTCTTCCCAAAGGTGGGCAGTGGGGACAGCTCTGATGGCAGTGCCACACCGAGCACTGGTTGTGACAGGCTGGGGACAGCTCCGGTGGCAGTGCCACACTGAGCACTGGCTGTGACAGGCTGGGGACAGGTCAGAGCAGGGCTGAGGGCACAGGGAGCACAGGCACACAGCCTGAGCCCTCCAGCCACCAGGACAATCAGCTGAAGGAAACGTTGTGCTCACTCCTAAATAAGAACTTTCCACACCAGGAGGAGGCAGAGGGAGCTGCAAACCAGAGCAGAGGGCACAGAGGGGACCTGTCACCACGTTTCCCTCAGTTTCCCTCATATATGGCTCTGTCCCAGGCTGCCAGCACAGCCAGCATTCCACAGTGGCTCCAGGGTGACAGTGGCTCTGGGACAGCAGCAGTGCCAGGCTGTCACGTGCCAGGCTGTCACAGCTCCCTCCCACTGKCCCTAAACCAACAGCAGGGATGGACACAGCGGGTCCAGGGGGTTTGGGATGTAAAATGAGGCAGGAGGCTCCCATGGCTGTCCCAAAGCTGTGACAGGACAGGAAAGGTGGGCACAGTGGGGACACGCAGGGCCCTACCTTAATATCATTGTCGATGCCCCCAGAGATGATCTGGTCACTGGTGTCGTTGAAGGTGACAGCCAGCACTTGATAGGTGTTCTGGAAGGTCTGGACAGCRGCTTTCTTCCTGATATCCCACAGCTGGAAAGAAAAATAGCACTTATAAGAGATGCACATGGATRTTTAACAACAAAATCCCAGGGAACTGGACAGACCTTGGCAGAGGCTCAGATTGCTTGAATAAAATCCCTTTTTAGAACTCAGAACATAATAAAAAATGTTAAATCTGGAGATCTTTATTAAAAACAAAATAAATCTGGGGTCTTTGGAGCACAGGAATGAGGGAAGGGAAAAAGGGGCCAGCACAGGAAATTACAGGAGAGGGAAGACTTGACCAGCACAGATTCCAAAAAAGAGAAGTGACCAGCACAGATTTCAGGAAAGAGAAGTGACCAGCACAGATTTCAGGAAAGAAAAGTGACCAGCACAGATTTCGGGAAAGAAAAGTGACCAGCACTGATTTCAGGAATATTTTCCTCACAGGAAATTTGATTCTTTTGTTAATCCAGAGCAGCAGAAAAAGTCCAACTGAGCAGCTCAACTTTCAAAACCCCCAGATAGTTACAAAAAAAAAGAAGCAGTGAAATTCACTGTCACATTTCTGATTTTGAACTCAGAGTTATAAAACAACAAAATGAGTGCCAGAAAGCTGAATTCAGCCCAGTTAAATGGGGAGATCCCACAAACTCCTGCTTTTTTCCCAGGTTTCTCCCTCGGGGACACACCGACCTTGACGGTGCCGTCGTCGCTGCCGGTGCAGACGAGCTGGGGTCCCCTGCGGGCYGGGTAGCAGGAATTCACAAAGGACGTGTGGCCCTTGAGCCTCTTGACCCTCTCGCCGGTCTCRCTGTCCCACACAGCCACGGTTTTGTCGGTGGATGCTGAGAAGAGCATGCTGCAGGGAACAACCACCGTCAGGGCTCAGCTCCCTCCCTTCCCACCTTCCTTAATGGGACAGAAATCTCCCCCTTTTGGTGTTTCAGGGAGCCTGACTGACACCAGAGGAGCTGCACTGGACAAACTCCCTTTAATCCAATTAAAGGATTATTAATCCAATTAAAGGATTATTAATCCAATTAAAAACTGTCTTTATGCTTCCTCAAGCAGCATCTGACAGATTATGGAGTGTTTATCAGAATTCCAGGCTGCAGGAAACAAGGTTTGTGTCTCTGATGCAGTTTCATGTTGGTGTGGCCAAGCTCAGGAGTGACCTTGGAATTAAAAGGCATTAGAAAAAGCTCAGCAGCAAAGGYGGRACAGCCTTTTTAATTATTAAATTASTGACTAATGATTTAATTATTAAATTAACTGGTCTCTCCCTTGTTCTCTCTCCCTTCCCAGCGACTCCCAGACACCCAACACAAACTTTGCTCTGCTCCCCAGAGCTGCACCGATGGCACTGGTGGCTCACAGGTGCCCTCAGAGCCTTTGCCCACGCTCAGGAGCTGCTCCCAGGGAAGGGGAAAGCCACACCATGAGGATATGCAACACAGAGACTGAGCAAGGGCAACAATCCCAGGATCACTGAGGCTGGAGAGGAGCTCCAGGGTGATCAAACCCACCCTGTGCACTGAGGCTCGACAGGAGCTCCAATGTGATCAAACCCACCCTGTGCACTGAGGTTGGAGAGGAGCTCCAGGATTATCAGGATTTAAGGTGCCTCCAAGCCACCCCATGCCACTCTGACTATCAAATCCACCCTGTGCCCAATCCCCACCTTGTCCTCAGCCCCAAGCCCTGAGTGCTATGTCCAGCAATTCCTTGGACACCTCCAGGGATGGGGACACCAAACCTCCCTGGGCAGTTCCAAGGCCTGACCACCCTTTCCATGAGGAAATTCCTCATCAAGTCTGTCCTGTCCCTGCCCTGGCCCAGCCTGAGGCCGTTCCCTCTCCTCCTGTCCCTGCTCCCTGGAGCAGAGCCTGACCCCGCTGGCTGCCCCCTCCTGTCAGAGCCACAAGGTCCCCCCTAATCCCCCTTTTCTCCCATTTCCCAGCTCCCTCAGCCGTTCCTGGGGCTCCAGCCCCTTCCCCAGCCCCACATTCCTGAGGCTCAGTGAGTCCCTGGGGGACTCTGAGCACAGAAAAGCCCCTTCCCCCAGCAAAGCCCCCTCCCTCACCTGCCATCAGTGTTGTAGTGCAGCTCCATGACRGCCCCGCTGTGTCCCTTCAGCGTGGCGAAGTTGTCACAGTCCCCATAGACGTTCCACAGCACTGGGGGACAGCAAGGGACAGGTGAACACAGCAGAAACATGGCAAMACCCCCTGCTGTGGATGGAGCTGATCTTTGGGAATTCAGCAAAAAAAGGGGATGCACCACCCCCATTACCGAGTCCAGTGTGAGAAAATTATCAGCATCAGGTGAGCCCCAGGACTGAGATGAATGAGGGGTCTTGATTAAGGTGAATTTATTAACAAAAAGAATAAAATATTCCCTTCAGAAACCCCGAACATTAAAAACTGTGTTTCTGCAGACTTTTGGAACCCCGCAAGACACACTCCCAGTACCATCAGGGTGGGACCTGCAGAGGAGCTGGGAAAAGCTTCCTGGAGCCCTCCTGGGTGAGCCTTTCACAGTCAGCGCCCAGCACAGGGAGGGCTGAGCTAAAACCCCTGAGCAGCAGAGCCTGAGCCCACGGGAGCCCTGGGGACAGCAGGGACACTCACGGATGAGCCTGTCGAAGCCAGCYGAGGCCAGGGTGTTGCCGTTGGGATGGAATTTGCAGCAATAAACCTCCCCCTCGTGTCCTGACAGCAGCATGATGGGGGCCTGCAGCGAGGAGCAGCGCGGGGGGCCCTGAGGGACACAGGGGACACGGTCAGGGGACGTACCCAGGGTATGGCCAGCCTGCCAACCACCCTGCCCACATTGCATCCCATCACCATCTCACCAGAATTACAGTCACAGCATTAACAATGTTGGAAAAGACCTCTGAGATCATCAAGACCACTCTGTGCCCGATCACCACCCTGCCCCCAGCCCAGAGCACTGAGTGCCATGTCCAGGCCGTCCTTGGGCACCTCCAGGGATGGGCATTCCAAAGCCCCCTGAGCAGCCCCTAACAAGGCCTGACCCCCCTTTCCATGCAGAAATTCCTCCTGCTGTCCCCCCTGCCCCTGCCCTGGCCCAGCCTGAGGCCGTTCCCTCTCCTCCTGTCCCTGTTCCCTGGAGCAGAGCCCGAYCCCCCCGGCTGCCCCCTCCTGTCAGGGAGTTGTGCAAAGCCACAAGATCCCCCCTGATCCCCCTTTGCTCCAGGCTCAGCCCCTTCCCCAGTGCCCCGGACACGTTCCAGCCCCTCCGGGCCCGTCCTGCTCTGAGGGTCCCAGACTCGGACGCAGCACTGGAGGTGCCACAGCAGAACCCAGTCCCAGCACCCTCCTGGCCCTTCCCTCCCACTGGAATCATCCCCAGGCTCCCTCCCTCACCTTTCCATCCTATCCCGGGTCTRTTCCCACCCCATCCTCACGCTCGCCCACCCTCCCCTCACTTTTTCCCCCGGTTACCGACTGCAGCAGAGCCCCGGCCGGGGGCTGCCCCCCTGCGCCGCCCGTGCCCGGCGCCCCCGGCAGGTCATGGCGGGGCCGCTTGGCGGGCACGGGGACCAGCGGGAGGTCGGGGCCGGGCGCGGGGGCGGCGCCGGGGGCAGGGGGTGCCGGGGGCGGTCCGGGAGCGGGGCCGGGGCCAGGCCCGGGGCCCGGGACCTTCCGCTTCTGCTGCTCGATCATGGCGGGCCGCCGGGCCCCGCCCCCCGCGCCTCATTGGCTGCCGGCCCCGCGCACGCCGCGATGATTGGCGGAGCGCGCTGGTTGCCCCGCCCCCTTGACACGCTGCCGGCGCGCCGGGGATGGAGCCGGGAGCGCGGCGCTTTCTGGCGCGCCCAGCGCTGATTGGTGGCAGGCCTGCTCTTGCCAGCATGAGTAACATTGATTGGTTGCACGTGGCCACCCGGCAGCATTGCGCACTGTGATTGGCGGAGAGAGCGGCCCCTCAGGGTGAGGGGGCAATGGCGGGGGCGGGGTTGAGGCCATGGCGGCGCGTTGGTGTTGTTGTCGCGGGCGCTGAGGTATCCCTGCCACCCCAAGGACTCCGGGAAGAGCTGTTCCGTTCCACCGCGCCGGTTCGGGTCAGTCCTGCACCAGGGCACCGCGTGTTCCGCCCGGGTCCATCCCCGCGCCCCCTGAGCCGCTGAACCCTGAGGGCTCTCTGCGGTTTTTCGGGTGTTAATGAAATGTCTCTTTCCGCAGCATCTCGGAGGGGAAATGCGGTAGCGCGGTGTGAATCCAGCTGCCTGTCGCCGGGCCTTTGGAGGCGATGGAGCCGCTGCCGGAGCTCTACTCGATCTTCCAGGGAGAGGTGCGGGGAGGGCCGGGCCCAGCGGCCTAGGCCATGTTTGGTCAGAGTTTATTCTCTTGATTTAGGCACTGTTTAGCGCAGTGGAGGTTTGGGTGTACCGGGTACACACCCCTGTGCCCGTGGGTCTGTGTGTGGCAATAGGAGTGAGCAGCGGGGGAGGTGGGGTTCTGTCCTTCTGCCCCACTCAGGTGATTCCCCATCTGCAGATCTGGGAATTCCAACATCAGGAGGATGTGGAGCTACTGGAAAGAATCCAGAAGAACCCACGGAGCTGCTCCAGGGCTGGAGCCCCTCTGGGAGAGCTGGGGGTGCTCACCTGGAGAGGAGAAGGCTCCAGGGAGAGCTCAGAGCCCCTTTTGGGGCCTAAAGGGGCTCCAGGAGAGCTGGAGAGGGACTGGGGCCAAGGGCTGGAGGGACAGGACACAGGGAATGGCTTCCCAGTGCCAGAGGGCAGGGATGGATGGTGTGAAAAACGAGATTCACTTTCTTGTTAAAATTTTAAGAATTTTAATAAATGAC